CCCTGCCGGTGCCCCTCACTCCCGACCCACAGCCCCCTGCCAGCCCAACCCTGCCGGTGCCCCTCACTCCCGACCCGCAGCCCCTGCTTCCCCCGTGTCATACGGACCCAATCCTCAGCCCAGCTCCAGGGCCACCTCCGGACTGACCCCAGCGGCACAGCCCTCACCTGGGCCCTGTCCATCAATTTACAGTGGGGCTCAAAAGCAACAGGTACCAGCCCCACTGAGCAGCCCCCATTAACGCCACCGCTGCAGTGACACCCTAGCCCCATCACAGGCAGGAGTGACTCCGGATTGACCTCAGCGGGGGCGGGGGGGGCTGGGATCGGAACCAGCCCTGACCCATCGCAAGCAGGAGTGACTCCGGATTGACCTCAGCAGGGGAGCGGGGGGGGCTGGGATCAGAACCAGCCCTGACCCATCGCAAGCAGGAGTGACTCCAGATTGACCTGGAGCGGGGGGAGTGGGATCCGAATCCGGCCCCATGTCTGCTGCCTGGCAGTGGGGGGGTGTCCCCCCCCCCCCCCCCCCACCGGGGGGGTGTCTCCCACAAGACAGGGGAGGGGGGAAGAGTTAAAAACACACCCCCCCCCCCCCCCGACCCCCCCGGCCATCACCTACCCGTCAAGCTGTCGTAACACTCGACCTCGGTGCTCTCCACCAGCCGCAGCTGCTCCTCGGTCAGCGGGTGGCGCCCGGGGCCCAGCGGGCTCTGCTCCGGGCTGCCTGCCCCGGCCCGTCCGTGCACCCCCTTGAGCTGCAGCAGGGCGCGGTGGTATTTCCCGATGGCCTCCCGGAATTTCTTCTCCTTGTAGCAGCGGTTCCCCTCCACCTTGAACTCCACGGCCTTCTGGATCTCGCTCTCCGCGGCGGCCCCCTCGGCGCGGGCCCGGGGCCCCCCGCCAGCCCCCTGGCCCGGCTCCTCCATGGCCCTGCTCAGAGGCAGCGAGCCATGCGGGGCGGAGGGGGAAGCCGGGCTCCGCAGGCCGAGCCGAGCATAGAGCGGTCGGGGCGCTGGGGGGGCCCTGGCCAGGCGGGGGCGGGGGGAGCAGCGAGGAGGACGCGCTGGCTGGCTCTGCAGCAACAGCACCGGGAAAGCTTCCCCAGATGCATTGTGGGAATATCCCGCCGCATCGCAGCAGCACTGACCTTAGATGTCTCCGTTAAAAAGCCAGGAGTCCCTTTCGGCGGGGGGAGGGGGGGAGGAGAGCGTGATCAGGGAATTAATCTGCCCCCCCCTTTTGCAAACCCTCCCCCACCGGGAATTGTTCCCAGGACACCTGAGTCACAGGCTGCAGCCCCTCCAGGCTCCCTCAAAGCACCTCCAGGGCGGGGGGGGGGGGGGACGACGACAGAGAGAGCACGTGTGTGCATGGGGGGGCACCTTGCACAACGGGGCCCTGTGTGCATGTGCATCCACCCCCCCAATTCACCACCAGCCCAGCCCTGGGCCCCCCACCCAGCTCTGCCGGTGCCCCTCACTCCCGACCCGCAGCCCCTGCTAGCCCGGCCCTGCCCCCCCTCACAGCTCCGCCGGTGCCCCTCACTCCCGACCC